ACATGTGGTCTCCTTTTCCTCCTAAATCTTGCTCATTAACAATCCCATTTATTCCTCTTCCGAAGCCTAACCTCAGGTTAATTTCCACCGGCCACCTCTTTTGCTTAGATTGCTTCAGGTTATCCTAATTAATGATTTCCCTGCTTGCATTCGCTTTTTGTTTTCATTCTTGGGGATGGAACCCCGGGTCTTGGACATACTGGACAAGTGCTCTACCACTGAGCTATGGCCCCAGCCCTTGCTTCCACCCTTCTCCCCAAACCCATGGTCTGTTTTCTTTCTTTTTTTTTTTTTTTAAACATTCTTTTTTTTTGGTACGGGTAATCGAACTCAGGACCTTACGCTTGCCAGGCAGGCACGGGTACCGCTGAGCTACATCCCCGGCCCCCCATGTTTTCTGTGATATTCTCTCGAAGATCAGGCTGAGGGTATGGCTCCGTGGCAGAGCACGTGCCCAGCATTCATGGGGCCCCAGACTCAATCCCCAGCACCAGGGGAAGAAATGAGATTACTTCACATCTCTGATAAGTGAACTAGAGAATTAACTAATGAATCCAATAAATTAGGGTAGAGATTTGCAATGTACCAGTCACTACTTCGGAAGAAACTTGAGGCCAGGAGATGTTTATCTTCTATACGCAGTGCTGACCGCAGTACCTGGCTGGCGCTGGTGTTAGGTGCTAGATTACCATGAGCCTCATGGTTTAAAACAACTGAAATTTATTCCTCATGGTTCTGGAGGCCCAAAGTTTGAAATCAAGAGGTTGGCAGGAGAAGAAAAAAAGAAAGAAAGAAAAAGAAAGAAAAGAAGAGAAAAGAAAACAAAAAAGAAAAGAAAGCAAGCTCGGCAGGGCCTGTGGGATGGGAGGGCCCCGTCCTGGGGGAGGAGCCGTCCTCGCCCTGGGCATTCCCTGGCTTGTAACCGCGTCACTCCCATCTTCTCTTCTGTTTTCACTCCTCCTGTGTGTGTTCTTTCTAAGGGACTTGTCACTGGATTTGAGGCCCACTGAATAGTCAAGGACGACCTCACTGTGAGATCTTTAGCTTAGCTACATCCGCAAAGTCCCCTTTTCCAAACAAAGTCATACTCGTGGGTTCTGAGACACGTACATACCTTTTTGGGGGCGGCATCATTTTACCCACTGCAATACTCGATAGATTTTTCTTTTTTTTGAGTCAGGGTCTCACTCTGTAGTCCAGGCTGGCCTTGAACTTGCTGATGTAGCTGGTCTCACTCTGTAGTCCAGGCTGACCTCAAATTCACGGTGATCCTCCTGCCTCAGCCTTCCAGGTGTCTGGATTACAGGCATGTGCCACCACACCCAGCCTGATAGATGTTTGTTGACTGACCTGCTGTGCTGACTAGTTTCTCTCTCCCCCTATCCCCACCCCCTTTCTAGTACTGGGGATTGAACCCAGGACCTTTTCACTCAGCTACATCCCCAGCCCTTTTTAGTTCATATTTGTTTCTTTTGAGAGAGGGTCTCACTGATTCACAGAATTGCGCAGGCTGGGCTGGAACTTGTGATCTTCCCAGCTCAGCCTCTCGGAGTGCTGGGATTGCAGGCACGCACCGCCACGCACAGCCCTGTTTTTGTTCCTCTCCCATCTCTTCCACGGTGCCTTCACACTGAGGTTTCTGGTGAAAAGAACAGGTGAAGATATTTCTTATTTGAAGTTTTTGCTGGTTTTGCATCCTGGGGGAAACACCCACGCTTCCTAACCACGGGGTCTTCCACCGTGGGCCCTGCCTCCTGCTCCACCGCTCAGGGCTGTGGCTCCCCGACACCGGGGCCTCTGTGCTTTGCCACTGCAGCTCCCTCTCCAAAGCCCCGCCTGTCCTGGACCGCTTGGCAGACTCTTCCTCCCGCTCCGCATCTGCTCAGGGAGCCTCTTCTCCTGCGTCCTCACCCGCGCCCCAGTCTCAGAGCTGTGCATGCTGGTTCAGTATTTGTCTGAATAAAGAAACGAACCCGGTTAGGATGGGGCCTGGGAAGAGCAGGGCAGAGCCGTGCGGGGACGGGAAGGAAGGGACAGGGAGGTCAGCACAGCGGCCTGGGCACGTGTCAGCGCCGAGAAGCACCTGGCCTTTGTGTGTCAGGACCCGGGGCAGTGTGAGAGGCGCAGAGGGGTGCGCCTGGTGCTGCAGGGCCCGCGGGAGTGAGGAAGGTGGCGGCAGGGGGCTGCCGTGCTACATGATCCGGCGTGCTCAGGCCAGAGCGCCCAGGGTGGGCGAGCATCCTCCACAGAGAGGGGAGATCTGGGCCAAGCTGCAGCCACGCTGGAAGCAGAGACACAGGAGCACAGGCGAAACAAGAGGACCAGAAGAAGCAGAGGACGGGCGGACGGGCGGACGGGCGGACGGGGCGGCCGGCTGGGCCGTTCTCAGCTCTTGGGGCTCAGTGAGCCCCCCACCGGTGCCTGTCATATGCCCACTGGCCTCCGAGTAATGGTTCCCAGTTACCCTGCTCAGAGGGTCCTGAATGGGGGGCTGCAGGTCACTGAAGGGCCCTGGCCATGGGGAGCTGACTGAGGGTCCCTTGGCCTCTGGGGATTAAGAGCCATACAGCCTGGTCCTCGAGCGGCCCAAGTGTGGGGCCAGGCCACTGCAGGGGGCCTGAGAGAGGGGCCCCTCCCGCGCTCTGGAGCTTGAGTGAGGGCTTCTGGTTATCACGGGTGTGGATCCCAGGCCCTGGCCACTGCAGGGGGCGTCGGGAACTGAGTGAGGGGACCTGGCCCTTGGGGATGTTGACCCAGAGGCTGTGGTCGCTCAAGGACCGGAGCGGAAGGGTCTGGTCCCTGGAGCCTGCGCAAGGCGCTGTGGTCACTAGCGGTGGAGGGAGAGGCTCCCCTTGTCAGAGCGTCCCCTGGCCCAGCAGGGCGCAGACATGACCAGCCTGGCTCACAGTAGCCACCAGATGGCGCTGTGGCCTCACACAAGGGCTGAACTCAGGCAAGGGGCTGCAGTCTCTGAGGGCACAGAAGCTGATCCGAGCCCAAGTGCAGCCTTTGGAGCTTTGGGAGCTGCTGCCCCTGGGGTGGTGGCGGCGACTGCGCTCTCTGGGGTGATGGTCCGGGGCAGGGGCCCTGGAAGCAGAGCATTCTGTGCTGTGGGCTGGGAGACCTGGTCTGCTCTTTACCCCAGGAGGGAGGGCAGGCTCTCGAGCGCAGAGCAAACTCTGCTGCAAATGTAACCTAAGAGACCCAGACCCACTCTCACCTCCGCGGTGCCACTGTCACACACAGATCCCAGGCACACTAAGACCTGCCGCTCCCCAGAGCTCGCTGTCCCGGACCCTGTGAAGCCCACACAGGCCACCCTGTGCCCTGTCATAGCCCAGGATTCACCCGGTCACGTTCTGCATCCCACGTCACATTCCACGCCCTAGACGCAGTCACAGAGCAGGGCTCTGCCATGCCTCAAACAAAAGCGTCTCCCAGTACCTTTCTAGACAGAGCGGCCCCGCACAAATCCTCACGGCCTAGCGCTTCCCAGGGTCCCGCTGCAGCCCGGGCTTGGCCTGCGGCGTGACAGCCTCCGGTGGGTCACACCTGGAATGTGACAAAGTTCTGGGCTGTGACAGTACGGGGTATGTGACCGAGCCCTGAAATGTGCCTGTGTTTGAGAGCTGACCGAGTTCTGAGCTGTGACTTTTTCCACGGTGCGCAGTGACTGGTTCCCAAAGCCACACCGGCCCACCGCCGCCGGTTCACGATCAGCGTCCGTGACAGCCATGGCGACAGAGCCTCGGCGATGCAGAGTGCGACAGACAGCGCTTCTCCCTTAGGCTTGTCTGTGACAGGCGGCTCTGTTTTTAAAATTTCCACACGGGATCCACTGCGGACCTTTTTTATGTCAGCATCTTGCTGCGCAGCCCAGGTTGGCCTTGAACGTGCGGTCTTGCTGCCTCAGTCTTCCAAGTGCTGAGAGGGCTTAACATTTTTGCAAAATGCAGCTAATTTACTAGAAAAATAAATTTGAAGAAAGACACAAAATGTAAATCCATTTTATTTTATTTATTTTTTTGTCTTTCTGAGACAGGGTCTCTAGGCAGTTCAGGCTGGCCTTGAGCTCACTTTGTAGCCCAGGCTGGTCTTGAACTTGCAGCGATCCTCCTGTCTCAGCTTCCCGAGTGTAGGATTACAGATGTGCATCACAATGCCCAGCCATTTCTTTATTTTAAAGAGAATTAAAAAAAAAAAAACAATAGCAAAATGTCAACAACATAGATAAAAATAAAACAAAGCAAGAACAGTAAGAATGATACAGGCTTTCAGAACAAGGTGATAGGGATTAACAGTGGTAGTTATATTACATTTTTTTATCTTCATTGAAGTTGGTCAATAAATCCATTTTTAAAAATAACCTTTTTATTTTAGAGTAGTTTAAGGTTTACAGAAAAACTGCAGAGAGAGTAGAGGATTGCTGTGTACCCTTCCCCAGCCTCCCCAAGGTTAGCGTCTTACATCACTGTCATACATTCATCAAAACTAAAAAATCAACAGGGGGACTCCGTGGAATTTCAGCAGCTGTCCCACTCATAGCCTTTTTCTCTTTCAGGATCCAATTTAGTATGATGTGTTGCTTTCAGGGTACTTTTATTATTAGATTCCAGTGGCTTACTATAATTCTATCAAATTGCTTCACCTCACCATGGACCCTAAGAATGCGTTTGTAGACTGGTCCGGGCCACACCTCGAGTAGAGCCCGTGTGAACACTGGGTGTCACGTGGTGGTGGTTTGGCAGGGAGTGAGGGGGCAGCGAACTACTAGGGCCCAAGGATGCGGGGGAGGGGAAGATGGTGGCCATGTGGCTGAGCCTCGGGTGTGGCTCGCCTGTAAGAGAGTGAGGATCCCGGAAGACGCCAGTATGACTGCGGTCCTCTAGGTGTAGAACTTTTTTTTTTTTTGTCTTTTTGAGACAGGGTCTCGCTATGCAGTTCAGGCTGGCCTTGAGCTCACTTTGTAGCCCAGGCTGGTCTCGAATTCGCAAAGATCCTCTTGCCTCAGCCTCCCGAGTGCTGGGATTACAGGCGTGCGCCACCACGCCCAGCTGGGGTGGAGAGCTTGGAAGAGAGCTGTACACATCCTGGAGGCCCCGAGGTCCGACTCAGCCTCCAGTCCAAGGACTTCGGCGAGGGTGAGTCAGCATCACCTTATAAAGAGTTAGGTCCAGGGCTGGGTGATGTGAGTGCCGGAAGCACAGCGCTTCAGGGAAGGAGGAAGACAGAGGGAGGAGGTGAAGGTGCTGCTTCCGGGGTCCACACTGCGATCTGCACGATCTGCACCACAGGCCGAGGTGCCACCCCTCTCAGGGAGGCCTAAGGGAGGAGTGTCGGAGAGGAGGCGTGGGGGCGGGGCTCAGCTCGTCCCTGTCCTTTCTCACCTCTCCAGCAGACTTAGATGTGTCCTTTTTATTTATTTATTTTTGACGGGGTGTTGCTATGTTGTTCAGTCTGGCCTCGAACTCTCTGTGTAGTCCAGGGTGCCCTTCAATTTGTGGCAATCTTCCTGCTTCAGCCTCCCCAGTGCGGGGATTACAGGCGTGTGTCACCACGCCCAGCAATATTTTAGGGTTGTTTAAAAACTATTACTTGTAGCAATATATATTCATTGGGGAAAGTACAGATTGATGGCATTTTCTGAGAGCTTTTTTTTTTTGCTTTTTTGGGGTGCTGGGAATCGACCTTAGGACCTTTGCACTTGCCAGGCAGGCCCTTGTGCCACTGAGCTAGATCCCCAGCCCTATGAGAGCTTTCCTGAAGAACAGGGAATGAAGCTAGAAAACGCAAATGGCTCCCCACCAGCTGACTGCCCACGGTACAGCGTCCACCGCCGCAGTAGGGAGCGTGGGGCTGTGGGCCGGACCTGGCGTTGGCCGGGTCGCCGAGGCCAGGCCTCTGCCACAAGCGTCACATGGCCCGCACTGCGCTGCCGCAGGACCTCGCACTCCGCTTCCTTTCTGGTCCGAGGAGCGTGACTCACCCCCGCGGCAACGACCACTCTTGTCATTGTCATCCCTGCACTGCCCACGCGCGTGCGTGACGTCCGCGCTCATGCGCGCAAAGGTTAGACCCAAATTTATCAGACCCAGCAGGAAGTTGTGCGGGAAATCAAAGCCAGTGGTAAAAATAACTATTCCATTTCCACGCAGGAGGATGCTTCGAAATTGGCACCTCCGCCGGCGTCGGCAGTCCGCCCACTGCGGCTGGCTGCTCCAGCGCAGGCTGCGGAGGAGGAGCTGCCGAGCCGTGCCGGTGCCCCTCCTTCCTCTCCCGGTTATACATTCATTAGTACATGCTTACACCGTGACTGCGTGCGCCACGGGGAGCCCGCACATGCACATGACACCTCCTAATTCTGTTTATGTCCCCGTCCGCATCTTCAGGAACGTATTTTAACGACAGTTATCGTGCTTTACTGTATACTTATTTCTTTTCTCAGCTCCACTTCTCTGGTTTTTTGTTTGTTTGTTTTTGAGAGATTCTCACTACATGACCCAAGATGGCCTTGAACTTGCAATGAACCTCCTGCCTCAGCCTCCGAAGCGCTGGAATTTTCGGCACAGCGCTGGACTCTGATCAATAATCAAATAAGTAAGTGTGAACAAACCCATTCGCCTGTGCAGTCTGTTTGCCCCTTGCTGGGACTCCAAGAAGTCCTGTTTGTCCTCTTCCTCTCTCCCTGGCCACTGGTGTCGGCAGTCCTCTGTGACTATGTTTTTTTTTTCTTGTTGTTGTTTGCTTGTTTGTTTTTTGGTGGCTGGGAACAGGGTCTCACTATGTAGGCTTAGGTTGAGCTTGCAGTCTTCCTGCCTCAGCCTCCCAGGTGCCGGGATCACAGACATGCATCGCCCTGTGACTACATTTTCTAAGTGCTGCCTGCCTGCTTGTTTGTTGGCAGTGCTGGGGACTGAACCCAGGGCCGGGTGGACGCCAGGCAAGTGCTGCCTACTGATATGGGAAAGAAAACTAACCCAACTCCATTGTGTGCTCCAGGGCCATTTTAAATCTTAAGCTTCTGGTTCCTTAAGTTTATTTTTGTAAGTGTTGTCATAGTTACCTAACCGAGGCCACCCCATGCTCTGTCATAAGACTGCTTGGCCCCTATGTAAAATGTCAGACACCTTCGTTCCTTTGTCACAGGCTGAGCCTATGCTTTGTAGTCTTTCTGTTTTTTTTTTTTTTTCTTTTTCCAGTACTGGGAATTGAACTCATGACCTTGTGCTTACCAGGCAGGTGCAGTGCCGCTGAGCTAAATCCCCAGCCCCCCTTTGTAGTCTTTCTACAGCCGCACTAAGTCATATCAGCACCTCCCCCGCTAGACCTGGAACTAGACTGGAACTAGAACTGTAGAACTCTCCTCCTCTCCTGCCCCTCAGGGCTGGTGCTCGGTCTTATACTGGGTGCGCACCGCCGGCCCCCGATGAACTAGCTTGGCCTTGCATCTGGCCTCCATGGGTGACTCAATTAAATAAGTACCTTGGCCGCAACACCACCACGGAGACCTCTTTGTGTGGCTCTAGAGCGCCAGACCTTGCAGGTTGGTCTTGTTTCCTGGGCCTCATTAGCCAGAATGTTTGATCTCTCCTGTGCTCAGGACTCTTTGATTATTCTCACATATTTTATTTAGAAGGAGGTTTTCTCTAACTTCCTTTCCCAGAAGGAGCTGCCAGTAGGCTGTAGTTAGATTTTTTTCGGGGGGGGGGGTACCTGGACTCTAACTCAGGACCTCATGCCTGCCAGGCAGTCGCTGTGCCACTGAGCTAAATCCCCAGGCCTCCAGCTAGACTCTGAACCCGTGGCAGTAGATTTATTCCTTATCTGTTTCTTTTCTATCACCCGCAGCATGGCACACAGGCCTGGACACATGTGAGGTCCATCTTGGAGCCTGTGTCACACTTTCTATTATTTTTTAAAATCAGATTTTATTGGTACATTGTAGGTATACATTATGGTCACATTTGTCATAGCGAGTTTGTACCTGCACACCATATAACTTATTTTTTTCCCCATTCCTCTTCCCTGCCTTCAACCCTCTCATTTACAAGAGGTTGTTTCCATGTTTTCTTTCTTTTCTCATTTTTTTTCATTTCCCTTCTTTTCTTTACACTTTCTATTAATAGATACCTGTGTAGTTTTAATTTTTTTTCTTGGTGGCACTGGGGATTGAATCTAGGGGCTTCACGAGGGGCTACATCCCCAGCCTTTTAAAACCTTTTTATTTGGCTGGGTGTGGTGGCGCACATCTGTCATCCCAGCCCTTGGGAGGCTGAGGCAGGTGGAGGCCAGCCTGGGTTACACAGTGGGCTCAAGGCCAGCCTGAACTACATAGCCAGACCCTGTCTCAAAATTAAAAAAAAAAAAAATTTTTTTTAAAAAATGTTGAGGCGTGGTTTCACTAAGCTGCACAGGCTGGGCTCTAGCTTTTGATCCTCCTGTGTTTACGTGCATGTGCTGTGAGGCCCGGCGGGGAAGTGTGTAGTTTGTGTAACGCCTGCATCTCTCATGACCTCCAGGTAAGTTCCAAAGGATTCTCTTTTACTCACTGTCATACCCAGAACCCAGCCCAGGACCCGCCACACGGCAGAACTCAGTAAAGATGGGTTAGGAAGGAGCTCTTACGGGGTCGGCTGGAGAGTCAGGCTTTGAGGCCAGGTTGAGCAACAGTGTGGACCTTGTCTCATTAACAACGACCAGAAAGAATGAACAAAGCGATGGAATGACCGACCCATTGCGCCTTTGATAAACGGGGATGTTTTGTTTCTCTGAAAAGAGTCCTTAGAGCTGGAGGCTTTGTTTGTGAGCCAGGCCTGGCGCAGTTAGTGACCAAGAACTGTGCTTAAGGCTTAAAGCGACCCCAGGAGCAGAGTGGCTGAGTTCCTCACAGGACCACTCAGCACAGGCCAAACCAAACAGGAACAACGGCTCTGGGATGCTTGAGGTGGGAATGGAGACGGCGAAGGTCACCATTTTCATCTGGCTCTCCAGGTTCTTCCGTATATCATATTTACTTTGAGCCCTGTGCTATATTCCCAGAGGATTTGGGGTAAAAGCAGAAGTTGGCTTGTTTATCGGTGACACTGTCCATGTGGACTAACGCGTGGCAGAAGCATTTCAGAGGGTTGTGGCTAATTGTTCCTCACACACATGGGCTGGGCCGGGGCGAGGGCAACGCGGCTTTCAGGGAGACGTCCTGGGACTGTGCCAATTGGCCCTGCGGTCCACCCCTCCTCATGAGACCCGGCACAGCTGCGGCCCGTGTCTGGACGAAGGGCCCAGGGAAAAGGCAGCGGGCAGAGTCCCAGAGGCAAGAGGCTCTGACAACCCCTTGGGGGCCCAGAGGGAAGCAGAAGGCAGAAGCAGAAGCACAAGGTGGCCTGAAGGGACCCTCTGGCCCTCGTCAAGCTCTAGCCCTCACTTAGAGGCCTTTGGTCACAGAGCTCTGAGCCGTCGGGTCTCTGAGGACGGGCTGGAGTTCCGAACACTCTGACGATTGCAGTTGATGTCCATTTGCTGTTCAAAATAAAACAGTATAAACTATAACATAAGTGTAAGAGGGTCAATAAAGTTCAGATTTACTCCATGATTGTCTCATAGGTGTTTTTCTACAAATATTAAGCTCTTGAACAAAACGTTTTGTGTGCTGCTTTGGTTATTCTGCTTCAGCAGTGCATCAAGGCTTTTCTCAGGGGCTGCTGAGGAATCCACCCTCAGGAGGCCCCCCGGGGAAGGGTCCCTGTCCCTGGGACTTGAGTGTGAACTGGAGAGATCTGAGTGGGGCTGTGAGTGGAGGGAGGTACTGCGATCACCGTGGGATCTCCGCGAGGACCCTGGTCACTGAGAGTCTTGAGAGTGAGCGGGTCCTCGCAGGACCCCATCCTGGGTAGGGTGGAGCTGGGATGTCTGGGTGTGGGTTCCCAGTCTCCGGCCGCGCTGAGTGTGGGCTCTGGTCAGGAAAGGGTGTGGTCACTAAGGGCCTAAGGAAAAGTCTCCCATCTCTGAGGGGACTGAGGCAGAGACCCGGCTCCTGGCCCCCAAAGTCTGGCGGAGGCTCCTGTCATGAGTTCTTGAGTGTGGACAGTGGGTCCTGCGTGTCCTTAGGGAATGAGGGCATGTTTGGGACACTGAGTTAAGGTCACTGGCTGCTGGCTGCTCAGGGTGTGGGCCTTCACTCTGAGATTTAACAAGGACTCCGGCCGCAGAGACGTGACCAAAAGACTTTGGTCAATCAGAAAGCTACATAAGGGACTCCCTCCATCAATTTTAGGCCACAACAAGATTAAACCACACTGGTCCTTAAATTCCTAAGTTCTCCTCCTCCTGCAGCCTGACCTGCAGATCTTCTCACTGCCAGTAGATGGCACTGTAGCTCCACACTTGGAGGGGGCAGTTGGTTTGGGTCCCAAGGCGAAACCCAGGTGCAAGCAGGTGCGATGAGGGGAGAGAAAGGAAATTAGCCGCTTCTTGGACCACATTCCCTGGAGTAAAGAAGGAATCAGCCTCGATGGCCCAGGGAAAACCCTCTAAGCACAGGCCACCTACAGGCCAAGCCCTGATGTGACCAGGCCAGCTAGTTCCAAACGCGGAGTGACTTTTTGTCTTCTTTCTTTTTTTGTCATGTATATGTCCATTTGCACATCTGATATACGACAGAATCTATGCTGGACACCGAGGATTAAACCAGGCCACCACTGCAGAGAAGTGAAACCACAGTTGGGAGTGAAAATTTACTTATTTATGTTTTTATTGGAACATTTTAGATGCACATGATAGTCACATTCATCATGAAGAATCTGCACCTGAACATGATCTATCTTCTTTTCTTCTCCTTTTCCTTCCCTTCCTTCACCCCCTCGTCCCCTCCTTGTGTATAGAAGCTGTTTCCATCTTTCCTTCTATTTTTTTCTTGTCCCTTCGTTTCTTTTCCTCCCCCCTGTTCCCCTACTCATTGGAAAATTTAATATAAATAAATAAATAAAGGCAGCAAACTCGATAGAGCCTGCAGTGCGAGGATGTGCACAGTGATTTGGTGGCCCAGGGACGGAGTGCCTTAACAGCGCGAGGAGGGGGTGAACGTTCCAGGGGAAAGAGGGGACACTGAAGCAGATCTCAAAACAGGAGCAGGGTGAGGGGAGGTGTCTGGGTGGAAGAAAAAGCGTCAGGATGCGAGGTGCGTGGGAAGGGCCCTCACGCAGCCCCAGATGTCTGGGGCACAGGGAGCAGGCGGGGCTGGGCGGCTGGGGAGGAGCAGGAACGACAGGTGGATGGGCCAGACCAGAGAGAGACTAACTCATAGACGTGGGTTGGGTCGTCGTCCTCTAGCAGATGGAGAAGCAGGGAGATTTCCAAGCAGGCAGACGAAATACGCGTGTTTCTGTTTACTTACTGTGGTAGCTAAGCAGTGAGGTGGCTTAAGAAGAAGGACAAGCTGCAGGCAGGCACCAGGGTAGGCAACAGGGTTAGAATTGAGGAGAATTAGCCACAAAGGGGCGGGGGAGACGACAGACTCGATGGGTGCTGAGGGAAGGGGATGAACACAGTTCTGTATTGAAGTACATATAAGTAAGGTAACGGAGAATGAAGAATTTACAAAAACAATCAGTGCTAATGTTTACCAAGCATTTAACATTTCTTTCTTTTTTTGTCTTTCTGAGGCAGGGTCTCGCTATGCAGTTCAGGCTGGCCTTGAGCTCATTTTGTAGCCCAGGCTGGCCTCGAACTCCCAGTGTTCCTCCTGCCTCAGCCTCCCGAGTGCTGGGATTACAGGTGTGTGCCACCACGCCTGGTGTTATGGTTTATGTCTGTGTGTCCCCTCCAAAGCCTCATGCGACCTTGGGGCAGGCTATTAGAGTTGAATGATTGTGGGTGTGAGAGCTGCACCCGCCCTGGGGTGGATAGTTTACATATGTAAGGGAGAGGAAAAGGGTGCTTGAGGCCATTCCTCCCCCATTCCGCTCTGGTGTGTACTTGCTGTTGAGCTGTGTGCTGCCACCCTGAGATGCAGCCCTCTGCCATGTGCCACTCTGCCTGATAATCTGCCAAGTACGGATTGAAACCTCCACAAACTGTAAGTGAAATAAACCTCTCCTTCCTTAATTTTGGGTGTCAGATATTTTGTCCCAGCAACGAGAGAAAAGTAACCAAGACACCTGGCAACATTTAACATTTCTAACATTTTATCTCACCAATCGTAACAGCGTTCTATAATGTAGGAATCATTACCCCTATGTTTCGATGAAGAAACCGGAGCCCAGAGAGGTTATCTGACTTTCCAAGGCCACACAGCCAGCTCTGTCTCCTAGGCTTTTCCCGTCTTTGACCCGCCCCTTTTCAGCACATTCCATAGGGTCACCAGAGGAAGATTTAGAAAATCCTTCGTTGAAATCCTCTGTGGGCCCATGGCCGTGTACTTCACAGTAAAGCACACAGCTCAAGCATACAAGTTCCGCCACCCTCGGTTCTCCCCTGCTCTACCTCACAGATCAGGCCGGTGGACTGACTGCCGGCCACGCCCTAGAAAGCTGACCTTTCCCGCCCGCGCACCCCTGCCCGGTGCCCAGGTGTGCGCTCTAACTGGAGGTCCTCACACGCTGCCCCCGCCTCCCCCACCTCATCGGCACCACCAGCCGCTCATCGCCCAGCTGGCTCATCCCGCATGTCCTGATAAAGTGCGGCCTCCACGCGGAGGCTTGTGGGACTCACCGCCACCTCGTGAGGTCAAATCTCCGCCACAACTCTGGGTATTTTTCTTTCACAGCATTTCTCTCAACGGTCATTAAGTATTTTCTGATTACTGGCATCGTGGCAGTCTCTTCCACTGAAGTGTGTGTTCCTTGAGGTGACCCAGGGCTACTGAAGGGTATTTGCTGCAGCTGTGTCGTAGCGACAAAAATAGAGGACTGGTTAAGTAAAGTGTGATGAAATATTGCTTAGGATGGAATATCATTCTGTCATTAAAATGAATGAGAACTCAGGCCACCCTCCAAATTCTGCCTCTTGGCAGGGGAGGAGACTCAAGCCGGACTGGCACACGGCTCTTTACAGGACACAGCCCCCAGGCGGAAGTGGACTGTGGTGGGAAACCCACCTTTTACCTAGTCTGGAATGACCCATTTCCAGGGATGAATTGACAGTGATTCCTGGATGGTGTCTGGTAGGTTTGTCAGATGGTCTGAGAGTGGGAAAGGTAAGATTGGAGAACTGTGGGAAAGATTTTTTCTATTATTTCTTTCTTTCTTTCTTTATTTGTCTCTTTTTTGAGACAGGGTTTTGCTCTGCAGTTCAGGCTGGCCTTGAACTCACTTGGTAGCCCAGGCTGGCCTCAAACTCACAGTAATCCTCCTGCCTCAGCCTTCTAAGTGCTGGGGTTACAGGTGTGTGCCACTACTCCTGGTAGTGGACAAGATATAGAGGAAGGATTTATGGATAAATCTCTTAGAATGGGCCCAGGGATAGTTTACCAGAAAGTTCCTACAGCAGAAGACATTCTTAATGATTAGGTGGACAGAATGACGCTCTCTATGATGTCTCTTATCTTATCCTGGTATCTTCCTCCCCCTGTGTCCCAGCTCCTCTCCCTGTATCACACACCAACCATAGCCTGGGCCAAGGACTTCTGAGGGGGCAGTTTATTTGGGAAGTACCCCAGAGGAGGGTTGAGGGATGGGCAAGCCAAGCAAGTAGGAGAACTGATACAAGGTACGTCATCAAGCCAGTCATGATTGTGAGTAACTGAGCTGCATCTTCCAGGAGCATTCTTTTGGAGATATGGTCTTTTTTGGTTTTTCTCTGGTACCGGGAACCGAACTCACGACCTTGCACTTGCCAGGCAGGTGCTTTTGCCGCTGAGCTAAATCCCCAGCCCCTGGAGATATGGTCTTGTTACATAGTCTAGGCTGTCCGTGAACTCACTATGTTGCCCAGGCTGGCCTCAAACTTGCTGAGACCCTCCTGCCTCAGTCTCCTATGTGCTGGGATTACAGGTGTGCACCACCACGCTCTGCTCCAGGAACTTCTGAGAATAGGTATTTATTTCTGGCTTCCTCTTGCTGGTTGAGGGTACCCCTGGATTGTTAGCTGCCTCACACTTTGAAGTTACATATATAGGCTTGCTCCCTGGGCAAAAATGAAGCCAAATCCAACTGCAGACAGATTCTATGAAGCTAGTTTCCAACGCCTGGAGAACAGGTGAGCCAGGAAGATCCGGGCTGTTACACGAGCTGCACCTGCTGCACCTGCCACCTCCCCTGCCCCAGCCGTTCCAGTCTGCCCAGTGGCTTCGGGAGTAAGTTGGCAACGGCAGCAGCGATGTCATCTAAGTTTGGCTGCATAACGGAATTCTTTGGCCGCCAAATCTCATTGGGCTGCTGCTGCTGCCAAGCCTCCAACCTGTCCGTTCGCAGGGATGAGCTCTCACTCCACACTGCAAGGAGGTCAGCCAGCTTCTGGGAGCAGTTAGAATTTTTCTTTAGACTCGTTCCCTAGAATGAGCATCTGGAATTCCTCACAGCGCAGACACGTTCTCTGGACTTGGGCATTTCCTCTTAATTTGTTGTGCTTCTACCAACACTGATGCCT